GCTTGTAACGGTTCGTCACACTCTCGTCCCCCAGCCTGGAACGACAAACCTGACACCAATGTCTAAGGCTGCATCAAACAACTCTTCCTCCTCAAAAAGACCCACCGGCATTTACGCATCTTCCTCTCCATCGGCGGCTGGAACTACTCAAAAACCCCCAACTTCGCCCTCGCGGCCTCGACTCCAGCCTCCCGCACGCAGTTTGCCCCGTCGGCTCTGTGTGACGAACCGTTACAAGCACAGGAGTATCATCACTTGGATAGAACAGTAGAGTAACGGAGTAGTAGCCGAAAGGTACTGGTAGATTGTGATAGCTATTGCTTGCTAAAGAGCCTTATAAACGAAGGCCGGGAGGCCTTCTTTTATACTGCTCTTCCTTGGACCCGGTGTGCTGGACCCGAGGACCCGGGGACCTGAAGCCTTCGGGCCTACGGGCCTTTGGGTCCAACCTGATTGGTCTATCTGTCTAGCTAGCTTACATAACGTTGGTTGGATCGTAACACTCTGACGCTGATGACAGACTGGGGCTTTGACGACCTAGATATCGACTGGGAGTACCCTGCCTCCGACACCAAAGCTGAGAAATATCTTCTTCTGCTGAAAGAAATCCGGTCTCAGCTCGACAGCTACGCGGCGGTGCATAACCCTGGGTACAAGTTCCTGTTAACAATCGCCGCCCGGCCGGCCCGGAACGGTACTCGGTCCTCAAGCCATACCTACGCCAGATAGCCGAGACGCTGGACTTTGTCAACCTGATGGCGTACGACTTTTCGGAAGGGGTTGGGAGGGAGCATGTTTTGGGAGGCGAGCAGGGATCGGAAGGACGGAGTTGGGAATGGGGATGAGCAGAGTTTGATAAGTGTTGCTTGGAAGGGACTGGCAAGTGCAGGAGGGATGGATGAGGGTGAGAATCTGTTGGAGTATCCTGGGAGTCAGTATGCGAATATGAGGGAGGGGATGCCGTCTTAGGTGGAAGTTGGGAATTGGGAGTTGTGGTTGGGAAGTTGAGGGGGCTTGGGTTGAGAGTTGGGACTGGAAGGTCTCGTCTTGCTTCTTGAAATTACTAAGGTAGGTACAGTACGTAGGTCTGCGTTTGAGCCCAGAAATAAATCCAAGCCCAATGACACAACTGTTCCTATTTCATTAAAAATCTCACTGGCCGCCCGTTAATGGAAAAAGAACTCTTTAAGACTAACACACAAGGCCTAAAAAGAAACAAAGTGCAAACCCAAACCTATTGTCTGAAGGAAGAAAAGCATTGAAGAAAAAGAACAAAGAAAGAGGCCGCCTTCCGTTACATGTAGGGTACGCAACGGGCAAATCCACCCCAACTGGAACCCATCAACTCTTAACCCCCTCCAGTCAAGCCTCCCACGCCCTGCCCCCCACCTTCTCCTCCTCCTCATCCTCACTTATACCACCCGTCCTCTTCACCTTATTCACCTTCTCCTTCTTCTTCCCCCCATGCGCCGGCCCAAATACCGCCTCCCCAAACGCGCTAAAAAACTCATACTTCCTCATGTTATCCGTATACTGATCAATCGTGACTTTCGAGCCACACTGCCTACGAATCTTTTCATTGCATAGGTCCTGCGCGGCCTTATCGCCCTCGAGCGTCTTGTGGCAGTGCTGGTAGGCCTTCTCGCACATCAAGCCCGGAACAGTATAGTGCCACGTCTTCATGATGGGTTTCCGGTTGTTGTTGCACACGCACAGGTATTTCAGGTCCGTGTACTGGCACACGTTGATCTTGACCCCGCCGTTGTCAATCACCTTCTTCATGTCGTCGCCTTTCCAGTCGCCTTTGTTGCAGATGGATGTGCAGGTTTGCGTGTGCTGGTTGCACCAGTCGTTGCGCTGGTCTTCGGGGATGGCGGAGACAACGAGGGTGGTTTTGTATTCGTAGGTGCCAGCGGAGACGAGGACCGGTAGCATAAGGACCAAGAAAAGGGGGGAGAGGTTTGGTGGGAACATGGTTTTTGTGGTAGTGGTGGTTGTGGTTTGTGGTACTGGGGTTTGTGGTTCTTTGCTTTATTTGGTTTTGGAGACTGTTGCTTGCCTGCCTATTTGCTTGCTGTTGTGGCTAGTGTAGGTAGTGTAGCCGTGGCTGTAGACCAGCTTGAGCTTTCTGTTCGGGTTTCGAGTAATACAGAGAATGATCGTGCAGGGTACCTAGGTATGCTTCAACAGTTACAGGAAAGAGAAGCGAAAACGGTTTTAGATAAGAAACCAAATAGAGTCCGGGGAGGTTTATATGTCTACCTTATTGACTCCAAGCCGTCTGCTTAGCACATGGGTGTCTATCATGTGTCGCCGGTTGATGGCGATGTTGAACAAGGGGAGGGAATATACCGGTGATTCTTTGTTGACTTTAGACGTTTGACTTTTGGCTTATGTGGCGGCTTTTCCCGCTTTTATCCGCTTCACATGTGCCCCTTGAACTCTTGTTTCCCGTGGACTCGTGGTTCGAGGGAACAATGGATTGGATAAACGCCAAGGGGCAAGAGTTATTCTTGTATACCTACCTATAGAGTGGCAGGCACGGGAAGGACACGGGTAGGACAATTGTAGCCACATCAAGGGAAGGGGTAACAGGACAAAGAAGTTGCTTGACATTGTGTTAGCCCTGCCACGGTGCAACGGTGCAAGCCTCGAGTCTCGAGGTATGTAGAAGGCAATGTAGAATGTCATCAGCCGGCCAATCCGGCATTTTAACACTTGAAGCTCCCGCATCAGACAAGGACGAATGTTGCTCGGGTGTGCGGCAATGGCATGAACAGAGCAACATTGCACGGGGCATGACATGCCATGGAGCAGGTTTTTCTCTGAGGAAACAGATCCCCCGAAGAGGCATCACTTCATTGGAACTTTCTTGGAAAGAGAAAGGAAGGTTTGAAAGCCCAACGCCTCAATCCACGTAATGGTAGTCGTCTGGGTGAAACGAATTCAAGGACTCCACGAGCCAGGACTAGACTAGAGGCTGTAAGGTAAGGTAAGGAAGAAACCACAATTGGTACAACTACCACCTGGGCAATGGCGACGCTCCAGGAACGACATACTCCTCCAGTGCCTGAACCAAATCCTTGATAGCACAAAGAGCTAACTTCGTCTCGACTAGACTTCCTCATCCAGCTAGCCCATCATGGATACCCGTGTCAGCGTCAGCGACCGCTCGGCACAGTAGTCTACTTGGTGGATTTCCAAACGTGCCTTGATATGCTTAAGAGGTATACGCCCAGTCTAGAGGTAGGTAGATACTTTGCTGTATACACTATCTTCCTCGGGCTGTACGCGTTTGGGACCCCATTCTTCCCTCCGGGTGGAAGTATTGAAGCCCCGGGTTCGTTCCTTGAACTATGTGCATATGTACCATCTATGGTAGTCGCTCAAAACTCTCATTCGCGGTGTCCAGGTTTTTCTCAATAGCCTTGTGCTGGCTCCACGGCCTTTTCTGGGGGTGAACGACGTTTTCTTGTTGCCTCCCACTTTAGCACCAAAGTTGAAAAGCACCATTTCGAAAATTTGGGGGGGGGGCGGGCTGCGATGTCGCGACCGTAGTGCAGAGAGAGCTTTGCCTTAACATCCGCGTCTGGGTCAAACATCTTAGGCCTATAGGTACTTGGGTAGAGGTAAGAACTCAACAACTCGGAGGCCACTAATGGTCCCAGGCTCCCAGCGGCAGTTGCGAGAGGTGAAAGAGTGAAGCCGTCATTGTCTAGAGGTACCTCTACAGCCTGAAGATTTGGACAGAGTTTGCGAAAAGACTGAACTGCCGAATCAAGCATAACTAACTAACTACAGGTAGCTACCACTAACTCACTCGACCCAGCTAACTGGCGTCTGAGTTCTTCTAGAGCTCCAGTGCCGCCATTTTTTTTCTTATTGATAAGCAAATCTACTAATATATCAAGATCCCTGCTTGTGGCTAAATCTAGTGGAGTAAGGCCTTCATGATTTGGTGCATCGAAATCGGTGCATCGCTCGACCAGCAACCTGGTAAATGAGTTGTAGCGGCGAGTTTGTGCCCCAAGCATGCGTGGAGCCACCTTTCTAGCCAACTTGGGAAGGGCCAGCTCGCCTTTGGAGTCGCGCTGGTCGGGATCTGCACCTTTTTCGAGGAGAAACTCAGCCATATCCCACCAACGATCATAGATTGCTCGCATGAGAGCTGTTCCACCATGTCGGTCTGAAAGGTTAAGCTTTACGCCCTCTACAAGCAGCGCTTCGATTGATTCCCTGGCCCGTAGTGCGCCCTGGCTCATCATTTCCGTGATGAACCTGCCTTCCAAGAGAGCGGCTAAAAGAGGGGTATCGCCGTTACGATCCGTGGATTCGAGGTCGGACCCCTTCTCAGCTAACAAGTGAATCATTTTGGCATCATATTTACGAGCCGCGATATGCAAGAGAGTTTGCCCTACTTCATCTGGCTGGTCAATGGAGGCGCCGTAGTTGAGTAGAATAGTGACACACTCTAATTGTCTAGCGCGCACTGCATAAAGCAGAGGAGTTTGGTGTTCCCAACCAACATCGACTCTGGCTCCCGCCGCAACCAGAAGCGGTATAACGTCGCAACGTCCGTATTTGGTGGCGAGAGCCAAAGGTGTTGTGTCCGTTTCATCATAGGCAGCATTGATTTCTTCAACTCCGGTCTCACGCAGAATGTGTCAGACGAGGCCATGGCACCCTAGAGCCACAGCAACATTCAGACTTGTGGAAAACTCGCTCGCCAAATTCCCTGGTCCGTCATCACAGTACTCAGTCCAGGTGCGAAACTGTTTGGAGCCAGCCTCACAGATGGCCATCACTGTCGCCAGAAATTCGATATTATCGTCCAAGTCGCTGTTACGGAGGTGATAGCTCCAATGGTCACTCGAATAAGCCGCAAACGGATAAATGAGCGGAGAGTGGGCAGAAGATTGGGTCGCCGTGGGATGAACGGCATCAGGCTCTAGAACATATATATACCACACGCAAATCCGAGCAAGTTCGGCATGGGCCTGATTCCTCCTGATCGAGGAACGCCATGACCCTGGCATTGTGGATGGTTCCGTTTTAGCCTGCAAGAACTGTTTAGCAGTTTGGTGTAGGAAGTACACTTTGCGCTGATGAATTGAGACAAAGAGACCGCAGATTGTTTTTAGTCGTCTTGAGAAATGTTCTTCCTCCTCCAGGTCCAATTCTTCGACAGATTTCATGCCGGGTTCCATGTTGACCACAATCTGCATTTCAGAGAGGGTCAGAGGGCGCTGCGCAGCAAGGATGACACACAACACTCGACGCAGTGTTGTACGTTGGGCACCCTGAGGCCTGTTGAGAATCCGTTCATAAGCATCCTCTACCGTCCTCGGAAGTTTCTCAATAGCGTCCTTGAACCCTTGGACTGTGCGCTTAATAGTTTCGCTTGAAATGAGGGTCTCTAAGTGGTCGAAGACGAGATAAACCCATAGATATGTTCGATGCGGTGTCTTGGTAAGTTCTTCCAATAGAGTAATCCTGAGGCGTTCGTTGAGTTCGTGCTTGTGTGCAAACTGATCGACGCGGACTTGAATAACACGATTGATCTCCGCACTGATTTGATCAGACTGGTCATCCGATTCACCCGGGATTAGAACGCGAGGAAAGTGGTTGAGCATGTCTCCGTGCTTGAAAGGGGAAACCACATTCCCATACGGACGAGATGTAAGAAGAAACTTGGCGTTTACTCCTGCGTTGTTGAGGTTTTCCACCAACAGCATAAACTCACTTGTCTCGCATTCATCGAGAGCATCAAGCACTATGATGATGGCACCTGCACTCTGATCACAGATTGCGTTGTTCAAAATGCGCCATAGTGCCGATGTCGTCCCCACCACACCAGCTCCGTTGCGGTCGTATTCCTCCACAGCATGCTGAATCAAGTCTGGCTTTTGGCAAAAGAGTTGATGTAGAAGAGCACAAAGGGCCTGTTTAACTGTGTTCTGGTCCCCATCCTTGAAGAAGAAGTAACATATGGTTGCGTTGGGATAACGCTGTGGCAGATAACTGGTGGATCAAGTATTTGGACAAGACGGATTTCCCACATCCCGGGTCTGCTGTGATCAGAAGTAGTCCTGATTTGAGCTCCAGCCAGTTTCGGAAATTTTCATGCTCAACGGCCCAGATGCAACTTCCCTCGACTCGTGTTTTGACACGGCTCTTGTACCATTCATAGGTAACATCTCTTTGATTGTCTGTAAGACGGAAGAGGCGTAAACACTTCTTCTCCTTCTCCTTGAGCTTACTCTCAGCGTCCTTGCGGACAGAGTCTTGGACATCTTGCAGTGCTTGAAGAAACTTGGCATTCGACTCCAAAGATTTCGTGCTGTTCTGCTTGAGAACCTCGGCAGTGGATAAAAGATGGGCGTTGTGGTATTGCTGCAGATCCTGATGGAGAAGCTGCTCTTGATGCTTGATTGCCGTGATAAGTTGTTCCCATACGTTTGATGAAAGGTCTCCGACGCAGCGTTCAAAGCCGCCCTGGTGATATCGGAGAACAGTGCGGACCTGAAACTCAAGCAAGTGCTGATAAAGAGTAACAAATTCCTCCTGAACACTTTCCGTCCAGTTTCCGGCATTGGAAAGCTGACGTTCAAGTGTGGTCCAGAAGCCAATACGGGACGTGACGTACGAGAACCCGTTTCTCTGGGCTTC